TGACTAAGAGGATGTCATCTTGTCCTAACAAGTTAGGCTTCAAGTGAATTTGGTGGTAGTGCTCCTTTCTGGAGCAGATCTTAAAAACTTATCAATACTCTCCTTCCACTTTGCTATATACACTCCAAAACATTTGACATAATCATAGCTAGTAGGCATATTCATAAAAAGTACTTTACCATTGCGGGGAACATTGATGACTTTGTCTTCTTGTTCTTTCAATTTTATAGGGGCCTGGGGGATTTGTCATCTTCTGATGACCCTTGTTTGTTAGTGTGTTACATAACGAAATGAGTCTTGGTAGTTTATTCAGGACCCTGATAGTAGAACATGTCTCACACATGCATGTCACAAAATATATCACAATTGAGAAAAGTCCCTCACTTTTTGTGTGTCTTATTGTTTTTATCCCCCCAACATGTAATGCAGAGGGATATAATCGACGCCTGTAATCGTTCGTCCGTCCATCTGTAATCATTTCATCTCCAGAAATTGGTATATATATCAAACAGAATCTAAAGTGGTGCCTTTTGCTATTTACAGATTTTTGTCATTTATTATTTTTCCTGGTTTCCATGGAAACATTTGGGACTTGGTCTCAAAAGTGAGGGGTGGGCTTCGTTTTTGGAGGACAACTCGAAAACTGTTCAATATCTTTCAACAAAACGTGGCAGATATATGAGACAGATCAAAAAGTGGTGCCTTTTGCTATTAACAGATTTTTTAAATTTTTTACTTTTATTGGTTCCCATGGAAACGATTCGGACTCAATCTGAAAAGGAAGAGGTGGGCTTCGTTTCCGGAGCACAACTCAAAAACCTTTCAATATTTTTCAGCAGATATAAGAGTCAGATCTTGAAATGGTGCCTTTTGCGTTTTACATATTTTTGGCATTTAAATTTGTCGTGATTTCCATGGAAACGATTTGGACTTCAAGTAACTGTCATGTAAATATGTGGGGGCCGGGGGAATATTTGACCCATTTGACACAAGTTTAGCACATAATAGAACATACAGCAGAATGTACTCTATTTGTTTCAAGGAGAATACTAACACAAAAGGTTTGTTTTCATAGAGGCCAGTGTTTGCGAATAGTGTCTGACCCTCTGACAAATCCGGCAGATTCGCCAACGGTCCGGTCCGATAGAAGTCTACAACGCACCGGCCCTAGTGTCAGACTGTATATTTCACAATGACTTTGACTGAAGTTGTTATATTTGACATGTGACACTTGTTTGCTGTTTATTTTATCTTAATGTTTCTTATGTTTGTAAATAATTTCAATGCCAATTATAAGAAATGTTAAATCTGAAGTGTGTGTTTAATTTTATTCCATGGGTCCTGTGAATTTTCAATGGGTCAGACAGACATCTTAAACTTACAAGACCCAATGTCCTGTTACTTTGAAACACCATTCGTGAACACTGAGAGGCAAAAGCATTCTAAAAGTCAATATCTGTGATTAAACTTTAACAATAAATTTGTAAAATTGCAAGAAACATGTAAAAAAAACCACTCTTGTATTTCAGCCTATTATGGAAACACCTGACAGTTAATGAGCAGAAGCTGGTATCATGTGACATGGCGTTATATGTTCCTGTTGCCGCCCACATATCAGCAATTTTATCAGCAAAATGTTTTATGTTTGGGTTATGTTTGTGAGTGCGAAGCGAGCGTTGTGGAAGCTTGAAACGATATCTTACTTGTGTTCAGATCGCTTCACGGAAGTTAAAGAATCAAAACTACTTACTAGTTGTAGTAAAATAAGTATATGATTAATGACCATAAAGATTTTCCATGACACAACTTGTAACATAACGATTTCTTCCTCTGAAGCGAGGTTGTGGTCGAAGTGACAATAATACTGTAAGTAGTATTATATTGACACCCACCTTGCTTCCACGAGAGAAATTGTTATGTTATAAGCTATGTCATGCAAAATCCTATTGGCCATCAATCAAATACATATTTTACTACCAGTAGAAAGTACTTTTGATTTTGTAACTCGGTGAAAACAAACCTAAATAGCATTTATCCTCAGACTGGTTTATGTTCGCGACAGGGTGCCGCCATTTTTGAAAATCGTAAAGTCACAGGCTAAAGTCTGTTAGAATTAATGAGATTATGGTTTGTTTTCATCAAGTTAGAAAATCAAAATTACTTTCTACTCGTAGTTACATATGTATTTGAATCATGACCAAAAAGGATTTTGCATGACTCAACTTATAACATAACGATTTTTTCCACGGAAGCGATGTGGGGGTCGAAGTGACAATACTGCACGATAAATTTCTTGCTACATGCACGACGTTAACGTCCACTCACCAGTATGTAGATACTAGTCAATGTACGTCTTTATATTTGGTCTTATAATCCTAATTAGTTTATTATCATACTTGTATGCATTTTGAAACTAAATAAAAAAGCAGACGATCTGCTGATACTTATAGTGAATTTATAACAGGACTGTACTATCTAGACATTTTATAGTTTGCCAATGTGAATCATAATTCCCACACGCCCTAATGTATGTTGTCTGTCTCATTACACTTCACGGCGAAAACAATGATTCTGTTGAATGCTACCACAAATGAATAAAAACATAGATGTTGTTCTTCTCCACACTGTCTTCCATGTCGGTGAACTCCACTGATCCCTGTACACCCTTGGATAGTTTCAGGCTGATTCTTTGTCTGAGGGACTCGATCAGATTATCAAACTGATGTCTCTTGGTGATGAGCGAAACCAGTCTATCAAGCATCTTCACAAAGATTTCCCATCTCTGTCCCATGTACCGGCTAGCTTTCTTGAAGCAACTAGTTTCCTCACATCAGAAGTGATCCTAGTTCTTTGTGTATATTTTTATATTCAAGGATGTAATGTTAAAACTACTCTATACGGTAACAGTGCATTGAATAACTCAACTAATAGTAACATTCTCAACTCATTGCACCATTTCATTTCTGAAAGTAACCCGTTCTAGTGATTACCACCAGTACATATATATACTCAATGTACCTCAAGTTTTGTATACATGTAATTGGATGTTTTGCTGCAGCTCATTTCGTTGCTAGGCATAATCAACACCATAACAACATATTCATTATTCAGTCATATATCTGATACTTTTTCTCAGTCATATTCTTTTGTTGTTAAACTATTTCATTTATTGTATCCAGCCATTGGAACAATGTACTGAAGTGGCATTTATGTAAGCCACTAGGCTTGTTCGTCTACCCAGGTTTCAGCTTTGGTCAAATATAAATGTGTTCAAGAAGAAATAATCTTACGGTTGTAGAATGCCTCGGGTTCCCTGAAACATGATTGCTGTTTGTTAGTCATTTGCCGTGGTCAGTGTTGAAGCATAGCACAGGAGACCACAGGAATCAGGCTGCTTTTGTCCTTGGTAATACAACATGACCAAACTTTCAGTATACTTAGTATGAATATGTCACCATACTATACTCCAGTGAGATATTGTCACACTCTCCTACCCAGAGTTCCATGCAGCCGGCCAGCATAGTACCTCTGCCACAGGCCAAAAAGATGTGACGAATCGTCACATCTTAACACAGTCCATTCAATATAATGTACATATTTCTTAACTATGTTTGACGAGTCTACACATCTAATGAAACATCTTTGATAGAATGGTTTAGTTTCACTGAGAAAATATCCTAAAACGTACCCTATTTCGATTTGCGTAGCGATCATTTGTTTACATAGGTTGCACGGCTCCACGTGCTGTCATCGAAGCTGACGGAGAGCAAACGATGCAGCCAGTTTAATATCTAAATATGTACTGTCATAAACCTTACTGTCGTAGATGTAGAAGAATATATATGTAACAATGTAAAATATTGTGAAGAGTGTGCTGAAACTTGCGTAAGCCAGTCTCTTCTTATTATGAATATGCGCGTTTGTTTACAAACAAGAGAAAAGTCTGGTCACGTGAGATGTAAAGTAGCCTGTGGCAGTGATGTTATGCTAAGTCATCACTGCGCCGGAGTGTGATATTGTCAATGGAATATCTATCTCACTTCTATGTCACCAGTGGTTTTGATTACTCTGTTGTTGTCATAAAGAATAAGTTACATTCCAAAGAAAACTGCTTGTGTCAATACCTTGATAATGGATGTTTCCCCATTCTTCTGCTGTTCAACAGAGATTTATATAACAGTAGTATACATCACTGTCATCAATACTGAAGGCCCCATTGCCACTAAATTTTATTGTGGTATTGTGCACACTTACATTGGCCTATTTTCTGAACAAATTCCCTATTATCATCAGTAGTTGTTAAACTAATTGAAAAATAATAGTAAATTAGTCTTAATGAGGAACTTACAAACTGTTGTTAATGCTTATTACTTTACTTGGAAACCCATTGTCAGCAATTGCTGGCCGCCAACATTGTTCATAATGATTTAGGCCTTGTAGACAGCTCACATGCAAAGAATTCAGGCATGCATTTGGTATGTTTATCTCTTCTTATCACGAAAAGATATTTTTTTCAAATCATTCAGATTTTTAGTGTGTGTTTTCATAGGTCCTTAGTGTTAATAGAGAAACTATTTGACTATCAATGATTACAGCTACCTTTGTTATATGTATGTATTTGTTGACATTCTAACTGTTGTCTACATATTTCAGTTGTATTATGGCAATTTCTACCTAAATGTACCACTGTAGTTATGCACGTATCATGATGCAATTTACAGAAAATGTGAGGGTGTCTGAGGGATTTCATGTATGTTTTGTTTGCCCTTCTGTCTATGTATGATTTCTGTGATTGCAGGAAAAAAGGGTGCAAAAGGTCTTTGGTTTCTTCATAGATTGACATATTTTGTATCATACATAATAATCGTAACTCTTAAAAGTGTTTTGTTTAATTCAGTTAATACAGAAAGTTAGTTGTGCTCCATTGCTTTCAAAGGCCATAGTATGAATGCCACATCAGATAAGGTGAATGGTTTGTAATGCTGTCAATTTCCTTCCAGATCTGAAAGACACCGTAACAAGTTTGTTACATCCTTCAACAACCTCAATGTGTCCGCCATCAGTAATGTCATATCTCCAGAAAGCAGTCATCTGAATGCCGCATCAGAGGATCCTCTCAGTAACAAACTCCGTGCTGACCTTGACCGCAGCATAGCAAAACACTTAGAAGCAGGTATGTATCCCTTAAACAATTTTTTCCTTAACTGTATGAGAGATGCTGGAGACTTCATATCTCATTTCTCTGAATGTGACTTTGGGATCATCTCTGGTCTTATTGATAGGGAGTGCCCAGAGAGCAGAAAGAAGGTACCGTAGTTTGATCCCTATCTATATCATATTAAAAGGTATTAAAGGATGGTGCTTGTTATTATGTTGCCAGTACTGAATGCAGTAAAGATCATGAGTTTTACAAAAGCGGTAAACATCTGAGACCTGCACCACATGGGGTTTTTCTCCCACATTCTAGCACGACATTGTGTGATACTCAGTTCTGATTGTATTTGTAACAAGTAGCATACATAAATATAAAAAAAATACAGTTTAAACTGTGAGCAAGTACAATTATTTGATTTTTCTTAAACGAATTATTGATCTCCCCTACTGTATGACAATCGACTCACGCAAATTCAAGACGTGAACTCGCTAAGTTTAGTCGCCGCTAACTTTATTCACGGAAATAATTGTTGATAACCACCCAACTATTGCCAATTTGGAAAAGACCTGACATGCCACATTGTATGTGGGATACATGGACAGTGGAAGTGGAAGGACTGGGCATTACGGCCGGGACGGAAGCGGTCGACGTCAACACACGTAGATCTGGACCCGGTTTGAATATACTGCCGCTTTTGCGCTGCTGACAGATTTTCCAGCTTCGTAGTTTCTTCACTGGGATTAGGGTCAAGAAATTCTTCTTCAAAGCATTCACTTTTTACTTAAAAAACAACAAAGATGCTGCCAAGATAGAAATTGCCGATGTTTGTTTACAAACAATAGGGTCAACGAGTTTATTGTATTCATACGCGGTGAATCGGTCACTTTAATTAGCAGTCTGAAACTGTCATTTAAGTACGGTTTTGATGAGCAGAGAGCTACTATGTTTTCAATTTCGCTAAATGTTTAATTTAAATGTTTTTAAATTACATTTAGCGGTCTTAAATCAACGATAAAGGACCGCAAAATTGAAAACAGTAGCTTTATCTTCTAATTAGGCAGACTGTTCAGTGGGGTTGTTGCTGGTCCATACAATATAAGCTACTAGACCGATTTTCGCACCAAGAAGAAGGTAATTTCGGTGGAAATATAAGCATGTCACTACCTAAGAGTAATAATATTGAACAAAGTGTTAAGCCCAGATTCACCTTACCTTGTATGAACCTGTCATCAATATTACCGATGTACAACATTCCTTGAGTATTGACACTGGATAACCCCACATGGGTACAATGAGTGAAGCCCATTTCTGGTGTCGCTCGCCATGATATTGCTGGAATATTGCTAAAAGCGGCATAAAACCAAACTCAGTCAGTCAGTCAGTCAGTCAGTCAGTCAGACACTGGATAAGAAGAAGCAGTCATAAATTGCTGGAGGGTGATGTTAAGGATGGACACTCAGGGTTTGTAAGAGGCCTCAGAAACCCATTTTAACCAAACATGTCCTACTCAACATAAACATAAAGTAATATTTTGTCTACACAAAAATATTATTAGCTCAATATTGAAGGGTAAATCAGATAAGGTCAGCATAAGGGTCAACAGGAGGTATTTACTATTCATCATGTTGGGCCAAAGTCAAGACAAAGAAATGTCATTAGCAAGCATCACAAGTCTTGCAAACTTCAATTATTATTAAATAATGCAGAATTACTAATGTCACTCATACTGTCACTCACCTCAACAAAGTCAGACTGAGGTGTGTCACTTGGTCTCATCTACTGCATCTTCACCTGATACTGGAAATACAGGAAATGTTTTCAAGCCTAACATCTCTTTAGTCAGAGACATCATTCAGGAGTTATACCATATGCAGTATGGAAGAACAGCCAAACAAATCTTTGACTGAGCAGTCACAATTCAACGCACTCCTTTTTCAGTTGCACATTGACCACATTAAAAGAAATAGAAATTACTACATGAGAGTCTGTCAGAAACCATTTAACTCCCATTCACAACAACAAGGCCAACAGCAAGGCAACATTGTTTCATTGATTGCCTAGCACCCATGAACACATCATTGGGCAACCTGTGCAATTGCTGTACCAACTCAGCGCCCAGCTGAACATTCTGGGTTGACGTCTCAAGGCACGAAGACTTCTTCCAAGAGCATCCCATACATGTTCAACGTCATTGAGGTCAGGTAATCCAGATGACTACTCAAAGAAGTCAATACTCACATTTTGCATAAAATTTCTTGTGAAAGCAGCTGTGTCTGGTGTCGCATTGTCATGCTGGAAATGAGGCCTGGACAATGAGCAGCCATGACAGCACCAGCTCTTGTACAAGGACCTGGTCACGCGATATCCCACTGCATTCACATTCTTGCAAATTGCGAGAAGACGCAACTGCATGTTCCTGCAGAAAGTTCTCCAAACCATTACGCTACAACCACAAAATCAGTTGACTTTCTGACATGCACCGAATCACATTTTATGGTGTTGTAACACCATGCTGGCACTCTTCCACTGACAAACCTCAGTGTAAAATGTGATTCGTTGCTAAACACAACCCTATTCCGTTGTCTCTGCTTCCAACACCCAGTGTGCCCAGCATAGACATTCATTACAGTTTACCTGTGTCAGAATCAGCCCAACATAAGGACATCGACCACCAAGATTGGCAGTGAGCAGGCAGTTTCGTATGGTCTGGGCAGTTACCCTACCCCTAAACAGTGCTTTACTGATTGACATTGTGGTCGTAAAACGATTACTTAGCTGAATTTGATTGTACTCGGCATGTGACGTCACAAATGCCCGTTCTGACCTGGGGCGATTAGATGTTGTACCTGTTTAATGCACACGTCCTCAGGTTGTGAATTGTCCATCTGTTGCATGTACAACAGCCACAATAGACTGGCCAGCCTGTAGCATGTCAACTACATGTTCACGTTCAACATTTGTGGCATGAGAATTATTGTTTACTGGGATTGTTAACATGTTTTTTCTGATCACCATCATATTGTTCCCACGCATTGGTGGTTACGCTCATGAAATTATGGTCAGGGGACCATTATTGTATTTGCCCATTTTAACTACCTTGTACTAGAATTCATTTCTCCTAATGTGACGTTTCTTGTTTTGTTCAGTATTTAATACCTGTGCATAAACTTGCAAGTTAGCCATGGTGCCTTTATAGAAAGTTATCAGTGGTTTCTGAGAATGTGATTCGGAATTCTATCTCTTGCAGCTCCTCATGGTGATATGATGCCTGTGGTCAAGCAAACAGAAGAATCATCTCTCAGCACTTCCTTTGCAAGGTCTTCTGCAGATTATAATGACTATCTGAAGAGGAAATATTGTGTTTTCTGATCATGCATTATGGCATTAATGATATCATTTTGCTATTGTTTACAACCAACAGAACTTTAAACTGATAATTGATGAACAGCTTTTATGGCATGACTGAACATTTGAGGACAACCACAGTGTACATTTGTTTTCCTTTCTAATAGCCAGTTATCTAAAGGGAGAATATTCTGACAGTTATTTGTAGAAATATTTTTTTATCCAAACTTTTGTACTATTTTCTTGTATTTCTGTGTAAATTAGAATTTACATAAGCTTTCATGGGTGAGACTTGTGAGATCTGGCAATTTAACTAGAAAAAAATGTTTCCATTTTCAGCTGTAATGCAGTAATTGTTATTGTGAACTCATTCAATGGTTGTCATTAACTGTCCCTTCATCAACCCATTTACCCAGAACCATTCATCTGAATACCCTTCACTTACAAATGTATGAGGATATCAATATCTTATCTCCACATGTCAGCTATTTTAACTCGCCTAACTTACGCCATAACCTGGAGGCAGTGTGTGTAGAAATCCTTTATTAAGAAAAACATTAACATTTGATGCCAGCATATAATCGTTAAAAGTGTTAAATAGCCATCACAAATATATTTTAAACAGGTTTTTTTGTAAGTTAAAAATAGTTATGTGTTCATTAGAATGTAATTATGAATTGAATTGATTCATTAACACATTAATTAACTACATGTGACACAAAATCTTGAGATAAAAGGGCAAGGTCCAAAGTATGTGGCTGTCTCCCCAAAAGTGTGAATGTTTTTATGACCAAACTTAATACACATTTATGATTTCTCTAGGATAGGGCTTATATAATTCAATTCAACTGCCAATATTGCATCCATGTGAGCAATATTTAAACAAACTAATTATGGGGGTTTGCTCAATGTGTTCAAAATGAAATGTATTGTTCTCATATGTTTAGCTACTATTGGAACTTGATATGTTCCTGTTTCTTGCTCAGTTAACTTGAATTCTAATCATCTTCTGAGTGTCACAGGCTACAATTTGTTTGTCACTAACGCTACGCCATACTTTCCAGCACTTGTGGTCTGACAGTTACATCCTGGGCTTTGACACATGTAGTCCCTGCAAATGATGCAGAGGCAGGTCACGTGACTGCCCTCTATAAAAACTGCATGTGCCAAAGGCCCAGCACACATCATGTCAGGCAACAACTCTACTGTGTTGTTATGATCCACAGGTATGTTGTAAATTTGGAAGGATTGTTTTATTTTATCATGCAAAATGTATTTATTTTCCAGGTATAAAGTATATTCAAGATAATTCTAAACAATGTTATGGGGCAACTGCCACAGGGGCGTGTCACGCTTAGAAACAGCGTTAGAAAGACATATAGGTATATAGACCCTACCCTAGTACTATATAAAAGGAAAGGGATGTAACGACGGAACCACCCCCTCCTCAATCTAAGTTAGATTTCACGTAAACTATTTTTAAGGCCCCGTTGAGGCCTACAGATCAAAAGCGAGATGATTTCCCTACAAAATGAGCTATAAATGGTCACAATCGGATCATTATTTCAAAAGTTATAGGCCCAATTTCGTTTCTGCGGATTTGCTCAGGTCACTTAAATGTCAAGGCCATCTATGGCCGACAAGTGAGTATGATTGCCGATGGTTTTGGAGAAAATGTCTGCTTACTGTTGAGGAAATGATTTGTAGATGTTGCAATAAGTTTTTTGACCCGTGGATTGCCGCTGCCGATCGAATCTAGCCCTACATAGGTGCTGTCAACGTGGCTGGAATTAATAAACGAATTTAATAGGTGAGTTTTCGCTCTCTTGGGTGATCCATGATTTTGGCTTGGAATTGCGGAGGTAGCTGTTTTCGGTGAGTCGTGGCATATAACTTTTGAAATAATGATCCGATTGTGACCATTTATAGCTCATTTTGTAGGGAAATCATCTCGCTTTTGATCTGTAGGCCTCAACGGGGCCTTAAAAATAGTTTACGTGGTGAAATCTGATTGAGGAGGGGGTGGTTCCTGTCGTTACATCCCTTTCCTTTTATATAGTACTAGGGTAGGGTCTATATACCTATATGTCTTTCTAACGCTGTTTCTAAGCGTGACACGCCCCAGTGGCAACTGCCAGAAATAACATTAATTGTTTAAAATACAATGTAATTCCCAAGAATATATTTTGAGTATTTAATAATTAATTAACATGTATAGCAGCCAGAATGGACGTAGTTCTTGTGACATGAGAATCGGCTGAATCAGTGTAGTCATTTTATAAAAATGTAATTCGATAGATTTTCAACTTTGCATTTTGGTCCATTCATTTTTATGCTGATTATTCAGCCCTATTTGTTTATAAATTTTATGAAATTAGGCAGGTGTGTTTAGGGATTCAATGCATGTTCATAGGTGATTTGACCAATGCACTTTGACCATACCTTTTTGTGCAATGCAAACATAATCTAATAAAAAATACCTTCGAGCAATGAAACTACCCATGCTTGTTCAGATGCTTTCATCTGCCACATCATCCACATTTAAAACCTCAAGTACACTACAAGTGTTCAATTTTTGCAATATTTTAATATTTGACCATTTGTTTTTGGCTTGGCAACCAAAAGTGCCATGTCAATTCTACTGCTAGGATGTCATTTGTGTGGACAAGTATTCTTTCTTTGTACTATTCCCCTTCATCCCTATTTATTCTTGATCATATCTAATATTCGAGGAAAATGATGCAGCCCTTTGTTTTTTTTTATAGCTTGATTGACTGAACTTTAATGGACACCAATAATCCTTATATGAATAATTCACATATGTACTTCATAAGAGTTAATAAACCAAGTTGTCATTCTATATCGTTTGTTATTATATATGGATTGCGCACAACTGTTAATGGACTATTGTTCATCAATCTGACCGTTAACTTTTCACCTTGTGAACTTCAATTCAGGTTAGTGGTGCTCCATTTCAACTTTTACATTTTCAATATTTCATCTATAGTCAGCAAAATTGAAAACTTGACACTGATAAATTTCGACATTTTCCTTTTTCTGTTTAATCAAATAAATTTACTAGTATACTCTTTAAGAAAAGTAGGGGAACTTCGTTTCAATTTACGATTGGAACAGTTGAGAGTTATATTGGAGTCAAGCAATGTTGCTATGATAATAATGAATGTTTTGAGAGTGCATCACCACTGGCACGTCTGTATGACCATATTAGTTTGTACAGTAATCGCTTTTGAAAGATGGAGACCTGTGGAAATCTGGGTTAGAATTGATCTTCAGTAACCCATGCTTGTCAGAAGAGACTAAAGGAATTGGGGGGGTCAGGCTCACTGACAGGGTTGAACACATGTCATCGTATACCAATTGCGTAGATCGATGTTCATGCTGTTGATCCCTGGATTGTCTGGTCCAGACCCGGTTATTTACAGACCGCCGTCATATAGCTGAAATATTGCTGAGGGCTGCGTAAAACTAACACTCACTTGAAAGATGACTGATGTATGACGTGAAATTTGCATGTGTACGATTTTCTTTTAAAAAAAAAATGGCTAGAAACAAACACTAACAACTGTGTGATGCAAGATGATTGTCTAAATTAATGGTGTACAGTGTTTTATCGACCTTTTTATCCCACCGACATGTAATGCGGTGGGATATAGTCGTTGCCTCGCCCGTCCGTCCATTTTTATCCCACCGGCATGTAATGCGGTGTGATATAGTCGTCGCCTCGTCCGTCTGTCCGTCCGTAATCATTTTGTTTCCGGAGCATAACTCAAAGACTGTTCGATATTTTTCAACAAAACTTGGTAGACATGTCAAACATAACCTAAGGTGGTGCCTTTTGCTATTTACAGATTATTGTCATTTTTATTTTTCTCGGTTTCCATGGAAACGTTTTGGACTTAGTCTTAAAGAAGGGTGGGCTTCGTTTCCGGAGCATAACTCAAAAACTGTTCAATATTTTTCAACAAGACTTGGTAGATATATCAAACAGAACTTTAAGTGGTACCTTTTGCTATTTGCAGATTTTTGTCATTTTTATTTTTCTTGGTTTCCATGGAAACATTTTGGACTTAGTCTCAAAAAGTAAGGATTGCTTTCGTTTCCGGAGCACAACTCAAAAACCGTATAATATTTTTCAACAAAACTTGGTAGATATATCAAACAGATCCTAAAGTTGTGCCTTTTGCTATTTGCAGATTTTTGGCATTTTTATTTTTCTTGGTTTCAATGGAAACGATTCGGACTTAGTCCCAAAAGTGAGGGGTGGGCTTCGTTTCCGGAGCACAACTCGAAAACTTCTTAAAATCTTTCAGCAAAACTTGGCAGATATGTGAGGCAGATGCCAAAGTGGTGCCTTTTGCTATTTAGCAGAATTTTGGCATATTTATTTTTCCCGATTTTCTTGGAAACGATTCGGACTTAATCCCAAAAGGGAGGGTGGGCTTTGTTTCCGGAGTATAACTCAAAAAACGTTCAATATATTTCAACAAAACTTGGTAGATATATCAAACAGAACCTTAAGTGGTGCCTTTTGCTATTTACCGATTTTGGGCATTTTAATTTTTCCCGGTTTCCATGGAAACGATTCGGAGTTAGTACCAAAAGGGAGGGGTGGGTTTCGTTTCCGGAGCACAACTCGAAAACTTCTCAATATCTTTCAGCAAAACATGGCAGATATGTGAGGCAGATCTTAAAGTGGTGCCTTTTGCTATTTGCAGATTTTTGTGATTTATTATTTTCTCAGTTTCCATGGAAACAATTCGGACTTAGTCTCAAAAGGGAGGGGTAGGTTTTGTTTCCGGAGCACAACGCAAAAACTTCTTAATATCTTTCAGCAAACTTGGCAGATATGTGAGGCAGATCCCAAAGTGGTGCCTTTTGCTATTTGCAGATTTTTGTCATTTTTATTATTCTCTGTTTCCATGGAAACGATTCAGACTTAGGCTCAAAAGGGCGGGGTTGGTTTCGTTTCCGGAGCACAACTGGAAAACTTCTTAATATCTTTCAGCAAAACTTGGCAGATGTGTGAGTCAGATCTTGAAGTGGTGTCTTTTGCTATTTGCAGATTTTTGTCATTTATTTTTTTCATGATATCCATGGAAACGATTTGCACTTAGTCTAAAATCAAGCTGGTCTTTAAATAACTGTCAGATGATTTGTTCTTTGAAAGATGTGGGGGCCGGGGGGATATGTCATCTTCTGATGACTCTTGTTGAAAACTGTCAAAATCAAGAATGTAACCCCATTCACGTGTATGGGGCTACTGCGCTGTGCACGAGTATCCCATGTGTTGTGTTTAGGGGTGTTGATAAAGAGAAATGGTGGTGCGTTCATAAGATGTCTGTCTTTGAACTTTGAAGTTCATGTGCAAACCTTGACTTTGTAGGCTATAAAGATGAAACACGAAATGCACATGTGAAAAGCAAATTCATGAGGTCATTCGGTGCATGTTTGCTTAAACTGAACACAGTACATTTAATGTGAGCTAGGAAAACAAATTAAATTTTTCATTTTAATCTTTGTTTGGAAATGCCACACCTTTCAAATCAAGAAACGTCAACATGCTATGACTCTTACTGAAGACCTCAATCAAATTGTTCTCCACACTTTGAACTTCATTTTGGAGGGTACCTTGACATCATGAATGTTATCGTTGTTAAAGAGTTTCGGTGAGATTTGTTTTGTTTTTTCGTTTTCCTTTGATGTCAAGATCTGTGCACAGCATACAACTAAACGTATTGTCTTACACCTAAAATTAAAAAACTAGTCCAAAAAATCCTGTTTCAAGTTTTCAGTTTTGCTCAGTATATAACTTTTTATGAAATGTGCATATACTCAGAGAATTCTGATCTAATTGTAAGCATGATAACATCAGGATAATTGCCACACACACCATTCCCACCTATGACAACTATCACCAAGAACAATTGCGACTTGAAAACTTCCATCTCAAACTCAGTGTGCATGGTAGTTGGCATATTTTTATCTTTTCACCCAAAAACAATGTTTAACAGTGTCAAGGTCAGGGTTAGGGTTACAGAGTTAGCCTTTTTATCCCCAGCAACGGGGGTATTAAAATGGACTCCGTCCGTCAGTGCATCTGTGCATCTGTCGGACCATACACATTCGCCTCTTCCAGAGCAGAACTTTAAAACCGTTCAATAATTCTTCACCAAACTTGCCATATAGATAGCTCTGGTGGTGTACTGATGCCTTTTCATCATACCCGGCAACGCTTTTTGCAGGGGGGTATTAAACTGGACTGAAATTGGTGGTTGTGCTCTTTTCCGGAGCTTAACTCTAAAACCATTCAATGTTTCTTCACCAAACTTGGCACATACATAGATCTGGTGGTGTACTGGTGCCTCTTGGTAGTTTTGGAATTCTGAATAAAATATTTTGGCGTTTTCGTGGCAACA